TTTTGGCGAATGTGAAATGGATCCACGCCATTTCTCGTGTTTGGAATAAATTCAGAAATATTTTTTGTAAGCTTAGAATCGAATATCACGAATATATCAGCAAGGAACCATGGAAATTTGGCGAGTTTCTGATTAAAAACACACTTTCTTGGTATCTCAACCAGGATAGCTCAGTGTACAGGTAATTTTAACTTACTATAAAATAGATAATTTACACTTTTTAAGCTGCCCTGTTGTAAACAAAGTGTTTCCTTTAAATAATAAAGTCTGGAAGCCTTTAAACAAAGTTCATTTTCTTAATCCTATTAAAGAAATTTCCCGCCAAAGAGATTCGAATTAAAGCGTTAAGATTTATTTGTTAATATTAAAGTTAGAATTAAAGATCTTTTTGTTCTGCTATATTTCACAAAGACGATGCTCAGTCCAATTAGATTAAGATACCACACTTCATTAATGTTTATTTTTTCAGCTTCTAAAACAATAATTAATCTTGTTAACGTATCGACATTAAATTTTACCGAATGATATTGGTAATGCATGAAAAGCTTAATCAGATTCATGACATACCTGTAAAGAACTTCACAACTTCTTGCCATGAGTATAAAAAATATAATATGTTAAAGTACACTCGAATCAAAACCATCTCCTTTTGTGTCACTATATATAACACAACTTTGAAGCAAGAACGAAAGAAAAAGATATCCGTTATTCACTAACCAATATATGCAAATAGGAACCAAACATATTTTTTGTGACTGTGCCAATTTTATTTTAATTTTAGTCGAATTTTACTTACTTATATGCACACACACACACACACACATATATATATATATATATATACATAACATCCATAAGTCTACTATAGATTACATTATATAGTGGTGGCGTTATTAGTATTTGTTTCGTTTTACAATTGAGTAATTTCACTACTACCATTACTCAGAGGTTCAACCGGGAAGGGGAGGGCAAGAAGGCCCGGAAAATCTAGGCATATTGATCACATATTATTTTTCAGCTTTTACATATAATAAACTCGTTTTGTATCATTTCATAAAAAATAAAACTTCTATAAACACTATTACGTTTGATTTGATTTGTTTTAAAGACCATTTTATTAAAAATATATTTAGATCAATTTCAGCTTTTTTAATTTATTGGCCACCCCTTAAAATTTTCTGCTCACCCTGGGTGGGAAACCTGGTTTTCTTTCACCCAAATAGTAATTATAAGTCAAAAAGATGGAATTATATTGTTACGTCTCTGGTCGTTTGTTAATTTCCCGTATAATTTCTTTCGGATGAAACTTTAGCGATACA